GCCACCGAGCCCGGCCAAAATAAAATTTTTGAAAGAATACAATGGACTCTAGTCCACGAGAGAGGTCTATCCGTTGAGAACTGTCCAGTCAGAGAGCAAGACAGGCACAGATACCCAAGTACACAACGGTGTCCAGTGCTTCACACACAGGCGTTCCTCGACTCCCCAGAGGTTCATGACCTGATAAACCCATCACGATGGGAATACCCTGCCAACAGGACGCTGAACGCACCCACCCTATGGAAGCGCACAGCTCGGCCTCACCACCTCACTCGGGCTCAGAACACCTCCATCAGCACACAGCTAGTCAGGGCCATCTGCAGTCCCCGGCAGACTGTCAGCTGTCCACCCTGGTGACGACGTGAACACCTGGGAGGTGCCCAGCCTTGTGAGGGCATCATACCACTCACCACTAGCCCGGGAAAAGATCAAAATTCGAAACCCAAAGTATAGTCTCTGCTGAATGCGTACAGTTTTCTCACCACTGTAAAGTCGAGAAATCATTTGATCTGTTCATATTTGCACACACAGTGTTCTCAACAGCTGCTGGACGCTGCTGAGTGGTGGCCTGCCCTTATTAACCACTTTTTCATGGATATTTTCAGCCTTTTGCTCAAGGAACAGCCTCAGACGTCAACATCTCAACATGTTTTTGAGTCTATCTGTAGGAAAATCTCCTCGGAGTGGAACCGCGGGACCCAGGCTATGTGCATCTCACGCCTGGCAGAGGCTGCGGGCTGCTCTCTGAAAGCCTCACCTGGGCCCACCCTGCTCACCCGACATAAGCGAGCGCCACTGCCTCACCACCTGCATCGCACGGTGTATGATTCTGCCCTGTGATCCCTGATCCGTTCATTGTAACAAGATGTCTGTTTTCACTTACTGACTTAATTGCATTTATTTGATTTGGGTGACATTGAGCATCTTTGAATGGGTTCAAAGAAACGGACATTTGTATGTGTGAAACTCATCCACGTGGGTTCTCATCTGCTCAGTTTTCCACTCGTGTGTGTAGACAGTGTTATCTTAGATAGGTTGGGGCAACAGCTCTCAAGTTGTGCTCAGCAGAACGGCACCAGCTCCACCACCCACCAGGACCCCCTGAGACACACTCTGGTCTCCACCCCACCACCGGGACCTCCTCAACCATGCTCTGGCCTCTATCCCCACCACCAGGACTATCCTCAGGAACGCTCTGACCTTCACGCACTCAGGCCCCACTGGCTCAGACCAGACGGATCTGTCTCAGGCGCTGACAGCAGCCATCTGAGGGTCAGTCAGTCCACCAAGCAGTTCTGCTGCTTACCGTTTGAGAACCACTATATTAGCAAATCAGACCTCATCTAACAAATATGTGTCCTTTGACGCTGTCTATTGTCTTCAGGACAGAAATTTAAAATTTCTGTGCGCACAATTTAACAGACTCCTCCTTTTTAGCATACCAGCTTCAGATCATCCTTAGAAAATCCTTCTCTGCTCTGAGACAATTAAAAGTTCTCCCATATCTACCTTTTCATTCTTTATGTTTAAATATTTGCTCCGACAACCATGATTTATTTCTGCATCTTGAAATTATTGCTTATATGAAGAAATTTAATCTAGCATTTAAAGGACAAAAAGATGGGATGCACAGAGTAACTCTATCTGGGAAAATAAAAAATAAATCAACACTTGTCCCCATGGTATTCTGAGAATACTAGGTTCTTTTCAAAATCTAGGTCACCTGGGGATTTCTGTCACCCAGTAGTTCCCACCGCTTCTTGGCTTGCAAACATTTACCTGGCCAGCACGATCATGCCAGCGCCACATCTGTAATGAGAACCCAGTGAGGTCCACAGGGAAAAAGCACAAAGGAGAAGGAAGCAAAAGGCTTGGCCTAGCCTCCTCCCTCGAGGGTCAGGGAACCATCCCGCACACAAGGAGGTGGTGAAATAGCCCACTGGCCTTCTGTTTGTGTGTGTATGAGACTGAGGAGGTGGGGGGCTGAGGGGTGAGGTTTGAGAGGCGAGTCCAAGTTTCTGCCAAAAGGGCTGCGGGTGGCACCAAACCAGGTTTTCATGAGGTGGGATGCTCAGTGCAATTAGAGGGCTGGGGACGTGACGCCTGGTTTGGTCCGGGTGCGGGAGGTCCTGGATTTCGATCATTTTCCTCTTCAGTCAGTGTCTTCTGCAGACAAACCTCAAATTAAAAGTTGAAAAGGTGCTCAGTAAGTGTAAGGATGACAGAGGAACACAAGGATGACAGAGGAAAGAAGATTCCTCATGCAAGGGCACCTGTGTCCAAGCTCTGAGTCTCTAGAGGAAGAAGGTGAGTGTCCGTGTGGATGGGTGTGTGGGTTGGGGGGGTGGTCATTGTGGGAGATTCTGATAGAAAGTTCCTGCATTCTCCCATTTCCTCAGAAAGAGAATCACTTTCCAGACGTTAATTAGCTTCAGAAAAATATTGCCCCAAGTCCTTTCCTGCAAAATCCTGCTCTTTCAATCTCCCATCATGATATCAGAGACAGAGGGCCACGAGACAGAGGTGGTACCCCGGCCCCTCCCCACCCCCAGCGTTCACTGATGATGGAGGGGCCACGTGAAGACACGGATATCCTTTCCTTAAGCTCATTCACCTCTGTGTGTCAAGAATTCAGTAGTCATGGGTCAATTCCAAAGCCCTCCGTGACACCCAACTTTATTCCATGGAGTCAAAATAAATGGACACGAACGTTGAAAACACTCACACAGCGAAGGCTACACTCAGAGACCTGTGACGCATACTCAGTCACCCAGTAAGGAACAGCCCTCTCGCTGCTTGCTTGTTTACCTACAGGTTTGCCCAGCACGGGAATTTCAGCATGAAGGCAGAACAATCCCTCGTGGGAGCTGCGGGCTCGGCAGCCGACTGTGCGTCAAGTGCCCGGGCAGTGTGTCTGGGGACAGAAGTCAGCGCTGGTACCGAAGTGGTCCTGCAAAAATAGACCCCCAGCTGCATGCAGGCGGGACCCCGGGTCTGGTCACCGGTTATCGTTCGTGGAATTGCAGGAAACATTTGACCCAGTTCTCTCGTTGACTAAAGAACGAAGGAAAGGGTTCGGGATGGCACAACAGTTCGTGGCAGGAAGAGAAGGACACATATCTCATAGCAATCGGAGACATCTGCGTTTTTATTTTGATAGTGTTTAACTGGCAATGGCTCCTAGCAGGGTAGCTATCAACTGGTTAACCACCTACAGCTGTGCTGGCCGATGTAGTGATCACCGGCCACATGGGTTATCCAGCACCAGAAGCCTGGCTAACCCCAACTGAGATGTCCTGTGAGTTCTCAGCATAAAAAAAAAAAAAATTAAAAAGAAAAATAGCGTTTTCATATTTTTATTTTTAGTGATTATATCCAATCTTTTTTTATAGACGGGGTTATATATGTATTATGAAAATTAATTTCACCTGTTTCTCTTTACTTGTCTGATGTGACCACTAGGACATTTTAAAGTGTGGGCGTAGCAGACATGCCTCATGTCCACTGGACAGCCCCGACTCATAGGAAAACACTTCCCTGCGTTAGGGGCCGGGTGCAGGGATCGCTCTCCGGGGCCGAGAAGAGGAGACAAGAACCAGGGGACTGTTCCCAGCCTTTTAAAGAGTCTTCATCCGGTTGGTGAGGAGAGACTTGAAAGCCACGTACGAAAATAAAAAACAAAGCATTATATACAGTAAACCATTTTAAGTTCATGCTGAACTACGTATGCATGCATGAGTACATTTCACTTTTAAAGAGCCATCAGCAATTCTGACGGCATGACTACCATCATCTCCCCTTTTGATTAAGAGCAGCTGTTTTCCTGGAAAAATCATAAGCAAAATCAATTAGTGTCCTAGAATCAGTTCTGCCCTTAAAGAGACATCTGTCCGCTGTCTATATAGCAGACAGATAGCCAGATGACAGATAGATCCAAGCCACTTCTGAATGGCAGTGGCAACAGTGGTCATCTGAACTGAAAGTTACAGGTCCACACCCAGTGCTCCTTTCCTTAAGACACTGGCAGGCAAGCACCTCACTGCAGACAAACACTCCTCTCACAGAGAAACCCTTTGGTGGAAAAACATACTGCCTTTATTTGGGGGAACTGATTTTGCCTAAATCGACCGGCTAACGGGATGGCCCCCAAGTTACAAGGAGCAACAATACCTGTTTATGATCACAGGCACACTCTTTTTTTGTTGTTTTTTTTTTAATAAATGAGTTCCTCTTGTTTTTAAAGGTTTGAATTCTTTGCTAAGATATGCAGTATTTACTGCTGAAATAACACATCTCCAATAAGAGTCCGAGCCACGTGTGATGCACAGGAGAGGAACAACACGAAATTAAGAATACGGGGTCCTCTGCCCTCCCAAGAGGCAGCGGCTTTGCCGAGAATGCCAGGCTGGACACCGCGGAAAGGGCTTCGGCAACTTGGCACGCGATCCGTGTGTTTTCTGAGTCTCTCCTGAGGAGCCAGAAACACGAAGGCTACAGCGGAAAAGGTTCGGAGGTTTCCGCCATAAGCACACACTCCCATTCCCATCCGCGAGATCACGGGACGGAGCTGAGTGATTCTGAGCCTGGGATGGGCAGCCGCCGCCCTGCACACCAGGGGCGACGGGGACGCAGCCTCCCCTCGACTCACCAACCGGGGCCGGCGGCCACCCCCCGCGCGCCCACTCGCTGGGGACAGCGGCCGCCCCCACGCACCGAAGCATCATCTGGCACAGGGACGAACACGCTTCCTCCGCTGTCTTTTATTTCTACCGGCCGCACGGCTTCCTGTCCCCAGCCACAGGGTCATTTCCAGAGACAGGACTGAGGACAGGTGCAATCTCGGCCGCAACCAGAAAGAAAAAGGCGCCATTTCCGCACAGATGGGTTAAATCGGGTCTCACGCCACCCTCCCCTTCGCGCCCCCTCTCACTCCACCTCCTCGACTCCACATGCCCCTGGGAGAGCCGCCACCGGGGCTGATTTGGAACGTGGAAACCCGCCGCCCAGAACCTCTTCCCGAAAAATAACACGGTTAAAAGTGCTTCGTTCCAAGCAGAAAGTTCCGCCCCCGGATGGCTTCTCACACGCCCGGGGGTCCGTTTCGGCAACCAGGGCCCACGTGCAAGGCGAGTTCCCGGGAAGGCCGGCCGTGTCCCGCCCCGGGCGGGCAGCGCGCG